TTCAATATTCTTATAATCCAATTTCAATCTTTCACATTAACACATAATATATATATATATATACATATAAAATAATATAATTTCCTTATCATTTGATGATTTATAGATTCTAAATAGAATCTATTTTTCTTTTAAATAGTGGATTCACATAAGGTGCGGGCTTACCGTATCGCGTGTCTTTGTACATACATGGTTCAATACCTTCAGGTCGGCATCGTAGGGCAAAGTTTTGTCCCATAAATTGGGCCCGAGGAAGGCGGCCTGCGCTTCCACGTTGCCCCATAACTCTCCATCTGCATCTTTCTTTTCTTCCGGTCCATCTTTCCCTTGCTTCCCTGTATATAAAAAAAAAAAGAAATTAATTCCAATAAATTCATTAATCAAATAATATAAATTACAACAAAATAAACAAATATCCTTATATATATACATATATTTAATTATATTAAATTATTATATTTAAAAATATATAATTAAAATATAAAAATTAATTATATATATATATAATCAAATTTTTCTATCAAATATCAACGTAATAATATGTTACCGTTAAACCCCATAAATCATTTATTCTATAAATTATGATTTTACAAAAAATTATGACAAAATTATGCTTATTTATTTAATACAATCTAAAAATTGGTTACACTTTTGAATCATATAAAAATTGGTTTTTTTTATTTGTGTGTTACATTTAGATTTGCAATCATATTTTCTAAAAATTCTGCCCAGGGTAACCAAGGAATTGTTTTATTGTTGTTTAACGTAAACATTTTTTTATAGAAATGGGATAACATCTTTAACGATACATTTAAACGATACGGAAGTTGTTAATGTATACATTACCTAGGTAAAATGTGGAATACTCTTGGATTCTGTATGTTAATAGAACAAATTAGTTAATCTACAGATTAATTAAGTAATGTGCACATTGATGATTTTCGGACTTTGATAATTAGATAAGTATCATATAAAAGGTGATTTTTTATAGCACGAAGTGATTAAGAACAGGACAATAATTATCGTAATAAGATCGCATAAATCAGAAATTTATTGAGTAATTAATTCATTGATTTATATAATATTACTGGTTTTCACATTTTTATCAAATAACAGTTTCACTTATTTATTCTTACGATTCCTGTTATGTCAATCGAATCTATTAGCATTTATTTCTGAAACTCGTTTGAAAAATTTTATCGTGTATTTCTTCGGGAGGGAAAAAATTATACATTTTATTTTTTTCCTTAACATTTTTTTCTGTTTTCCCCCATTTTACTAATTTATATGTTTACAAAGAGATTATATACATATATTTATATGATTTATGTTTATGATATATGTATATTAGATAAATATCTATAATATATGTATATTTAAATGATACATTTTGATAGAGACATTTGTTAAATAATTATTTAACTATATATATGTGAGTGAATTGGAAAATGTTTAATTTATTAATTGTCAAAATGTTATGCTTCAAATATTTCTACTGATACTAAGATTAATCTAAAGATTTAAATAGAAAATAATAAATATTACATATATAAAGATTAGAATATTAGAAACATAAAGACTAAAATAGAAAATAATAAATAATATTTATAAATATAATAATTTGACTATATATTCACATCAGCACTAGGATTCTTGCAATGTTTGAATACTTATTATTATTTTTTTTTAATTAAACTTATAA